TTGTATTGTTGTAATGATATAATCCAATATAAAAGCAAACAATGGTTTTATAAGTTAGCGAGTAATACCTGCAGTGAACAATCAATGGTCCGGTGTTTATATCACGTAATTCTTCGCAATAAAGTTTTACTCGTTTGCGAAATCTTAATATAGAGTCGGAAAATGGACACGAATTGGCCGACCAGTTGTGGTAATGTAATTGATATATAATCCTATATTCACCGGAATCTAAATCCAGACTTCCGGAGCGCTTTGATTTCAGCATTTCCTAACATATCAATGCATTTATTATTAGGAAAAATAAATAAACTTATTTATGACTGAAAATGACTACATTTGGTCCATCCAAGTTTAATGGTTCGGATGACATAATCGGCGGTCTTCTCCTCATCTATTAAAGTGACTTCAAATTGTCCGTAGATTTCAGACGAGTCGACCGTTTGTGGCCAGTATTGGGCGCACATAACACGTATGAAATCAAACACTTTGGTCAGCATAACGATGATATGGGACTCGCTTTGCCATATCATGGACCAAAAGTCGACTATGGTGAATTCATTGGGTCCCTGAGCACCGATGTATGCGTTCGGCTTTAATATACTCTAATTATAGACAAAAACAAAACGCATAACCGCTTTAAAAGCGCCCTTTTATTTAGTTTTAAAATACATTTTAACACAAAACTTGTCGTAAAACTATTATAAAATTATATAAACTTTGTGTTAAAAGTAATCCCATGTTTTTTGTCGCTCGTAAATATTTATTATCAAATTCTGGAGAAATTTATTTTATTGTGTTTTTATGCGATATTTTTAATACATTGAAAGAGAAATACAAAGTTTAACGTGTTTTTGACTTTGAAGTGAAAGTAATGTTTTTGGGCTTAAAATAATTTTTAAATGTAAAGCTTTAAGACTTACGTCAATATGCGATGCGTTTATATAATCAGATTTAGATTTTTGAAATGATGTCGAGTGCAGTATAAACCGATTGAAATCATCTTTTCTCACAACACATGTAATGAAAATATATTGAAAGTTAATATTTTTATTGAAAAAACAGATTATTGTAATCCAATAGTCGATGCAATAGTGAAATGAGAGTTGAGTTGACTTACAGGGAAGACATTTCTTATAACTATTCTTGATTTGGTTTTCCTTCTTATTGGCCACACGACTAGAATTACTCTCAACTTTCGATATTAACTGTAAATGCAATGCAATTATGGATTAAATGACGGATATTATCCGTTAATATCTTTTGATATCATTTTAAAAATATTATATTTCCCGATAAACTATAGACTAATTGTTGAGTAAAGTTATACCTTAAATACCAAAAATCTTTAGTCAATGATATTTGGCATATAAATTATATACCAATCAAATTGTATTTATAACTGAATTACAGAAAAATAAGTGAAATAACAAACAGAAAACATCGAAATACAAGGTTTAGCGCAGTTCGAGGCATAAGAGCAATGAGATTGGAAATCCGTTTCAAATGATATTTTTAGATCAAAATGTTTTTAGTGAACAAAAATATATCACCGAAAATGTAAATAATAAAATCAATATTTTATGTCAAACACTAAGCACTGCATATAATTCAGGAAATGTGTGCACAAACTAGAAATTTAAAATCAAAAACTGATTTACAAATTTGACTTCACATTCAATTATTTAGCTTAAATTTAATGCTAATATAAATTTAATAATGAAAATATAAGTTAATAAAAATAAATGTCTTTTCACTTTAATTTCTCCATAATATTAGTGAATATTTTATCAAAATTAGATTTAATTATTTAAATGTTTATGCATTTGAATTCAAGTTAACTTACAAATAACTTCAAATCAGAAAGTTTATAGTTTTTAACATTTATGAAACAATATATAAATTTTAATACATAGAAAAGGCAATGAAAAAGGATTTATTTGTGACAAAAATAGCTGCCTTTGAGACCAGAATTATCACTCGAATAGTCATATAAAAGACAATTAGAGAATTGAAGTAATGCTTGAAATGTTTAAAAGTAGTGATAATAACATAATCTAATTGTAATCCCAAAGAATGCTCTCTCGGTTTGTCATAAGAGATGGGATGAAGAGATGTTGATATTGGGATCGATAATAACTACAACAATAACATTGAAACGAACTTCACATGTGAACAAAAAAATCAATACCAAAATTTTTAACTTTTATTTAAGGGTTATTTTAAATTACTTTCCGCTCATTGAATCATAAAATAATGGAAAAAGATTTAAAACTTTATTTTATAATATTATTGTTTAGATATTTTTCTGAAAATAAGTCTCAAATTTTACGTAAGTAAGAGAAGTGAAGTGAGTGTTCATTGCTTTCGTAAACTAAGCGCTTATTCTGTTTGGAGATGAAAATAGTCTGTAAAATAAATATTGAAACCCATATTTATTCACAATTTTAAACACACATACAGTTACTGTACATTACAATACAGTGGGTGTAAATTACCTTAAATAAACTTTTGTTAGATGTCATTATGCAGTTTAAGCACACATTTAGCCTCTAAATAATGCAAACACTAATTTGTTTATTGTTTTCAATAAATTTATGTTTAATCAGAATTTATGTAATAATTATTTAGCATAAAATTTGGTTCAAAAGACAAGAATTTCTGATTAAACGAATTAATTCAGTAATCAATAAATGAATAGAAATATATTGTGATAAAAGTGCTTATAATGTACATAATGTGAACCAATATTTTTCCAATAATATTAAATTTCTCGATGAAAGCATCAATTATAACACATTTCCACTTATAGTCTATTTTAGTCCAAAATAAATATATGGATAAATATATGAATAGTTTGAATAAATATTCGCTAAATTTGTTAAAAGCCATATGAAATATATCAAACATTTTTGGATATTTCAATGTATTAATTGGTTTTTTAAAATTAAAAGCAGTCAAAAATATGTGTTAAGAATGGATGTAATTTTATTGTAAAGACTATTCTTGAGTATAAATAATATAAATGGAGAGCAAAATGATGTACAAAATAACTTTATAATGATTTGTGTCTTTAAGGCAGTAAATCATTTGAAATAAATTGTCATTTCTGTTGCAAAAACATGTTTTTGTTTTTCCAAATTTCATTATGTATTTTCTGATGTGAAGAGACATTGCTTTTATTAAATATATTTACTATTGTTATGTGTTTATGATTTATATTATATCATAGCAACTGATGGACAAAATTTGGATATAAGTCATGTCTAGCTTTTTATTCAATTGTTTGAAAACAATGCCTGACTTTTCTTTATTTCTTACTTCTGTTAAAACATTAGTTTAAAAGTTAATGATTTAAAGCAAATGCGGGAACTTTTTGTTTAATATTAAATTCAATAGTACTTCAAAACAGATCAATAACTTTACATTAAATATAAAATCTTTCAATAAATTTAATTTATGTGTATGCTTTTAGGAAACTGAATATCAATGTTAGGGACAATGTTTGGGAAGATTTTTAAATGTAAAAAAGTAAATAAATAATAGTTTAAATTTAGAAAATGTTTAAATGAATTAATTGCTAACAAAATATTTAAATAACTTGTCTAATCGTTAAACCAAAAATCCTGTCCTGTCTTTCAAGTCATTTTCAGCTTATTATAAATATTAGTGAATATATTTTAATGCCTTTTTGGTCGCGTTGTATAATTTTGACGATATTTTATATCAAATTATAATTTAATTCCTATTGAATAAAACATATTAAATGTATTAAAATTGCAAAATCTGTTGAAATAATATGTTCAATCAATTTATAAATAATATACAGTATTTGCAATTCATTGCATACAACATTGAACGACATAACCAAGATTGAATTAACTCCATTACATTACATCCAATTCTCTAAATAGTGAACATAAGAAATAATATTACAAAATATTTTAATTAAATTCAATATTTAATTTAGTCTTTTTATATTTAATTTCGTAGAAAGCATTGAATGGACAAAAACTTTCAAAACATTAAGTACTGAAAAGTAATGAAAAAATCGATCGATTAATGCATTAACTTCTTATCCATTACTGAATTGAGTAAAGAATCCTAAAAATTTTTGCCTTCTTTTGTCACCAAAAAAAGTAATACAAAACGCAATGCAATGAAGAAATTGAATTGCATTTATCAATACATGAAATAACGCCATCAATGAAAGCAAAGTTTTGTTTTGAACTGCATTTTGCAAAATATTCTCTCTTAAGTTGTGTTTTAAGTTTTCCTATGAATGATATGTTTTTGATGTAAAGTTAACTCCACTCAACAGACTCTGTATTTTCTCTATAAATCAAAGCTCAAAAGACATCAAAACTCAGTTATGATTAGTAATATGTTTTCTCAGACTTTTTTTCATGTTAATGCAGGATATTATTTTTTACTCTCAATATTACGCTAACGATATTTAAAATAAACACATAATAAGTCTATTTGGGAAATTTGCTATAATATTAAATGTCGCTCATGCTTGAGATGCTGCTATTTTTGCGAGTTTGGTACATTTTAGAAATAATTATTTATAATTTTTCAGTCAAAAAACATTATATTTGTTGAATTAAATATAATAATAATAATTTTGTTATACCTTATACTCAATTCTGGTCAAAACATCAAATTTTCTTATCCGTTGGACATAACGTCTAAATTTGGACAATTCTTGACGTGTTTGTGGTATGAGTTGATTGATAGCACTGTTGGTGTGATCACTATTGATGGCCATAAGGCCTGAGTTAAGTAAAGCTAATTGCATGGTATGGAAGGACTCAGACTTTGGAAGTTTTCTATAGAAAGCGAAACAATTAGTTCTCTCTTCGGATTCATTATCACAATTATGTTTCCGTCGGTGTATTGAATATCCGTTTGGATTCTGCATGCGTTCACTCGCTTTACCCATTAATATCGGGTCTTATTTCTTATAGAAAACTATTGAATTGAACGATAAAACAGAAGTAAACATGGGCAATTTGCATATTCATAAAGCAATTCTATTTATTACATTTTTGCAATCATTAATTAACTAATAATTAGTGAGAATTACTGGCATTCAGACAAGTGTTATCGCGTTTACAGACAGTATGCCTGTGTGTACAGTATGTGAGACGAATGTTGGGCACCAAACCTATTGAGAGACATACAAACACTTCAATAGATGTGCTCTCAATGAATGCAACAAAAAAATTCAAACCATTGCCAAACAGCGCATAAACCAAATCCATAGTCATTCAAAATCTACTTCTTCAACACTTGCCCTCCAATCCACTTATTATTGATTCATATATTCTTTATATTCATTATTATTATTACATAATACGGATAAAAGTTACTATTTTTAGTTATCAATTATTATATGTAAATTAAATTTTTTCTATTATCTATTATACAGAATAATATTGCAATTCCTTGTAATAAAAAGATTTTTCTAAAATGTGTTAATAAAATTGAAGATCCTGTTGAAAATCATATTATAGATTATTTATAGACTATATTAGATATTCTATACGTTTGTAATAAATAGTAAGTTATATGCAATTATAGGATTAGGAAAACCAGAATATTCTTAAGATTTGTCTATTTTTATTTTTTTGTAAATAATCTTTACTATATTTCTAGAATTGTGCAAAATTACAACTTATAGATTAGTAAGAATTTTACAAAAACAAAAAATTATTGACAATAACTCCAATGGGAGAATTTTTATACACATTTTTCTTAAATTTTACGAGTATTTACATTTCTACTTATGTTCTATCGTGTTATTTATTGATTTACATTATATAAATCCATATTAAATAATCTATTAACTAGTCATATATAATATTTTGTAATTTAATATTAATACAAATTAATTTCATAAATATATTATATTAAATATAAAATTACCAATTTAGGCTATGGTGGTTTATATTTATTACACTATTTTTAATTATGGTAGATTAAGAGCTCATAAATACGTGAATTATGGTGAACTCACTTAAGAAAATTCAATGTAATTATTATTTCCTGTCGAGTGTTTATTTGCTCTTTAAACACAAATAACACTTTTATTGGATTCTCAGAATTGTTTCCATAATGTGTATAAACATTGTGTATATTTTGAGACAAAAAACCAGAATTAATCTACAGTTAAGTGTAAAGTAAATTATGAAATGTTTTACACATTTTTCTCATTTTATGCAAATGTTCTAAAAGAGATGAAAGTTTAGTTCATTGCAAATGAATATATAATATATGAGAATTTCTAAGTAAGAATTAATTATACTACAGTACGTAATTTTATACAATCTGCAGAAAAAATGTACTGTTACAAAAATATATAAGTATAACAGAATATTTAACAAAATATATAATTATTGTTAAATATAATAATTATCATTTTAAAATCAATGATAACCTTAATTAGGGTAAATGTCTTTACTTGGTTTAACTAAATGTCTATAATATAGACTCTATATATTAGTCTGTTTAATAACTCACAATAATTACAAACACGTACTGTAGAAACGATGAATAGTAAGAATAATTTATTATTTAAAATCTTTATTATCTGATAAATAATGTTAAATGTTATTAAGTTTTTCAGTCAGTGAACTAATTAAAGTTATTCATTATTAAAATGGATTCTATGACACAAAAGTTGTTTAGAATATAGTATTAATGTATTTAACATTTCACTGCCAGTGAACTCGAAGAATACACAATCGATGTCATCAACTCATACAGAATCGTATGGTTTTGGACCCATTTGTCAATCACTTTAGACCTATTCCTCCAAATGTGAACACATGTCACACATAAGACATCAAACTTTTAAATGTGACATAAGATGTACTCTCATTACAGGCAAATGCATCTATTATTACACTCACAAACACTAACCGTATATAATCTACAATAATCTTACAGTTAGTTTAACCAATGAAAACATTTTCATTTCTAAGTTTTTAGGTTTTGGTTCAATAGCTTAAGTCATAAACATGGGTCGTCATGTTGTAATGAAATAGTAAATAGTCAATACTGTATGTCTTATAAATAAAGCGATTTATAGGCAGATTCATATTTGATAGCATTAATCATGCTACTACTAAGGTATAACCTCGCTATACAATAGTGGCACTAAAGTGGCCCTAACGGGTTTTAGTGGTCATAAACATTTAAATTATTAAACATTTTAATAATTTGAACACTTAATACTTTAAATTTTAAAGAATTGTTAATTAAAAAATTATAATAATAAAATGATTAACTTGTTTGAAATTTGTAATAGAGTAATAATAGTTTTAAAATAATTGAGTAAATACCGAGACCGGCATTGTAAGTACTTACGAATTGCGTGCAATACACCAAGTACAGTTTACTCTCAGTATATAATTAATAAGGGTTTTTCATATAAAATGTAAATTTTATGAACTGTGTAATAAAGTATAATAACTGAGTCATATGATAATAAAGAGAACAAAAGTGATGGTGTTATTCAATCGGGTAATAATATGAGAAACCTTCATTGATTATATACTGAGAGTTAACTGTACTTGGTGTATTGTACACAATTCGTAAGTACTTACAATGCCGGTCTCGGTATAAAGTTATTTATCAAAAGTTTTACTAATCATTTTATTTATAATTGTAAATATAAAAAATTTTACAATAAATTAAATGTATTTATTACTAATAAAATAAATTATAAACTATTTTCTAAAAAAAATAATTTAATTACAAATTAATGTTATAACAATTTTATAATTACAAAATTATTATATACACATTTAGTCATAATTAATACAATAACCTTAATGAAAGAATTTGTATTAAATTTTAATTTGTTCAGTATTAATATAATTTGCATATAAATTGCATTTTGGTATAGTTTTACATGATTTATTTTTGATTTTAATTATTTTTACAAAACAACTATTTAAGTTTGTTTAAAGTTTTGTTTAAACCAATAATGTCGTACAGGGTGTATATTATGTCACCAAAAATTCAAAGTCTACATACATGTATGTTCAGTATAAAATATGACATTGACCAATAATATGAGTAAAAATGCTTCTGACATGGGTCATAAAATACACACTGTACTAAGCAATGTAATAACTAACATTAAACAAATGAACATGGATAACTTAATTACTTTATGGGTTTATACCAGGCCAATTCTGACAGGTTTTCTGTGGTGTTTCATATGAGTCAGAATTTTTATGCATTTCGCGACACGCGGCCGTCACAGTCACTTGTTTGGTAATATCCCGGCAAAGAAGTCTATTCATCGAATCAATAAAGAACTGCGGATAATGTGTGTCCGGATTATTGTTGAGGTTGTCATAAACCTCATGAACGTGTTGTGAAGAACAGATCACATTCTTGTGCTCTAAAGTGAATCATTTTAAGTCTCATTTATATATGAATTTCATAAACAGTATTTGTTAATATATACAATGTAAATGTAAGCAATGATTGGACGCCAATTCAATAAATTAACTGCAATTTGGGATAACATAACTTGAACATTTATCAAAGTTCCAAATATATTGTATGTATTGACTATAAAGAGCTTTAGCATAAAATTAATAGAATTAATATTAGTTTTATAGGAATAGCATAATTGTTGATAGACCAAAAATTAGTCCCATAGAATTAACTTAGCCCCATGTTAAAATATAGTCATAGATAGGGTGTATAGGTTGGAAAGGATAGTGATTGTATAAACTACTATTTTTATATTAAATTGTAATTAAAATATGTTTATCAATTGTTTTGTTTAAATTCAATAGTTATAATTAATCAAATATTTAAAAATATTCTTATATTTAGAATATTTTAATTAATGTTCTAGTTGATTATTAATGTAAACTTTAAGTTGTAAATTCTAAGCTTAAATTTATACTGTTGTTTAAATTAACAAAAAATAATTTAAAATAATTATAATAATTATATTTTACCAGCTTCAATATCATCATGAAGTTGAAGTGATAGTTCCCTGATATTCATAAGTGGTTGCAAAGTATTCCACATTAATATCTTTAAGTTATTTCGTTCCAGTTTTAGGACTTGTATTCCGGGAAACTGAAATTGTTTTATACCGGAAGGAATGGTTGTGATGTGATTATCCCTTAAATCAAGTGACCATAGGTTTGGTAAATGTGTGCCAGAAATCCAATCGAAATCAATTAATTTATTGCCCTTAAGTGATAACATTTTCAAATTATTCAATCCATTAAATGACGATGGTGCGATATTTATCACATTTGAATTGATTATTGAAAGGCTAATTAAATTCTCTCCGTTATTGGCGTTTAGACAACCACTGGTTATTTGTTGCAGGTCCGAATCCTCAATATAAATACCCTTCAACCATTTATAAGAATTCAAATCAGTCCATTGAAATGAACTAAAATCCCATTCAATTAAACTTAAAACTTGTAACTTATTTGCATCTAATGGAAAGAAACCACTGATTGAATGAATGTATTGTTTTGTGGAAGTTTGGGCCCCTTTTAAGTATAAATTGCTTATCGATAATAGACTTGATCGTTGATTATTATGTGTTTGTATGCCATCGATGGCTAATGTATTAATTGATACGGATGTTGGCAACTGACCGATGCCATCGCATATTAGGCTCACTGTTGTTCGGGTGTCTTCTAAATCAACTTAAATATAAACAAATAATATTTTTAATTGCCATTACGTTATACTAACTTTTATTTTAAATAATAAAATTTATACGACTATTAAGTTTTTACAAACAAAAAGCGAATGGAAAACTATTTTCAAAAATATTAAAATTTTAATAAAGTATTTAATATTTTCTATCATCTCATTTAAACTGACAATAATTATATGATGTAAGTTTGATTACCTTTAGGTGCTTTATAACATTGACAATTGTGGGGACAATCGGGCCAATTGTTCAATGGCTCCTGAAAACAGGTAATTAATAAAAAACATGTCACAGCGTTTACATCCATTATATTTAGTGGTAATTAAAACACTTATTTCATATAAACTGATTCATTTGGCTAATAAATTAAAGTTCCTCTTTGTATTGTTACTACAAACATTTTTTTGTCATTTTTATAGATAAAAATTAATACAATTGCAAACATGTTTCTGTAAACCGACTACAGGAGCTATGAATTGGCATACATTGTACTTTAGATATCAGTGTTTAGTTCATCCTTGTTATTTATTCTATTGTATTGTAAATTTAATTAATTAATACTTTTTTACATTTAAATCTTTACATAACTAATTGAAATAAATTGATCAGAATTAATGGCCAATAATTCATCATTAAATTAATTAAAACTACAACTCTGTGTGAAGTAAATGTTTGCAATTTTTATAGTTATAGACTGTGTTATATTTAAGTAAATATAATTATATAAAATGATAAATTTAATTCCATTAACTCATGATTAGTGCTCTTCAATGATAAATGCAATCTTAAACGGACTGTGAATTAAGTTATTTTTGTGATAAACAAATAATGTTTAGTTTGATGTTCAGTGAAATAAAATAATGTTTTTCAAACAATACAGAAGTGGTTTTGACAGAAGGTGTACAACAAATGTATAGCAAATGTTTACAACTTAAACACCGATTTAAACGAAACAAACATTAAATAAAAATGGAAAAAAACTCAATACATTTGATCTCAAATTGTATTTATTAATATTCTTTTCATTAATTATGAATACAATTATTGTTAATAAAATTCAAATTGATTTATAAATTAGACACAAAAGAAACATATATTACTATTGATAATCAACGCATAAAACAAATTATTATACAGATTATTATCTGTATTTTAAAAACTTTTTTTTCATTAAACCCCATATAATTGAAATACAAACGAATTGCTAAAACAATTAGAAAATAGACAAAACATATCAATTGATTCAATCGTATAAAATGCAAAAGAAATACTTATTTATTTAAAACTTAACACAAAAATATAATTAGATATTTCGGACTATAAGATAGCGTGAAAGTGAGGCCTCATAAGGGAGTGGAGGGCAGGGATGGAAAGCAATGAAAAAGCAAATATCAATACATTTTACAGAAAATATAGTAATAATAATAATATTTTAGTCACAATACTATACTGTTTTGTGTTCACAATATACAGAAATCACACAAAAAGGCTTAAAAGTGATTCAATATATTCTGCATGTGTTGCTGTTGATGATGGATAAGGATCTGCAAGTCCTGAATCTGTGGCAGAGGCGGCAAATTGTTCAATAGTATGGGCGGCGGAGGGTTGGGATTGGGGGCCATATTGGGGTTGAGGTTGAATTCAATGACGTGGATATTCTGCGCCACTTCTGGCATCGGCTGGAAGTTGTGTTGCATTTGGTTGGCGTTAAAGAAGTTGGCGTTTCCGACGTTCCTTATGTTGATCTTCAAGTTGTGGGGAATATTCTTATAGGCGTTGAGATCGATGGGCGCAAAGTTGGCCTCATCTCCCAAACGAGAGAATCCCGAATAGAAACGGATTATGTATTTCGAGTTACGGTTCGCGAATGATATCAAGTTATCGATCGTTTGGCTCGTGATGTTTGGCCGCGAGAAGAACGTCATTCCTCTCATTTGCGTACACGAGTCCATCAACTTATGGATTCCGGAGTCCGTTATATTCTTAAGCGCTTTAGTGCCGCTTCCGAGAGATATTTTGGACAAATTCTTCAATTTAGACAACGACTCCATCAGAGAGTCGGACAAATCGTATTCAGTGGTCAACTGTAATGACTTGAGATTCGGTAGGAATTGGTCCACGTCTTTGAAGAAGGGATCGCCCACTTTGGAGCACCTAATGGTCAGATCAGTGAGATTTGCCAAACGCTTCAGACATTCCACCGACTCTTGTGTCTCAGATATTTTGAACGAAACGTTTAAATGCTTTAAATTATGAAATTTTCCCAAACATTCAAAGATATTTCCGCCGATTATTTCGTTGCCGTTAATGAATACGTGAATATTGAGCACAAATCGGCTCACTTTCGGACAGTTCTTCGCCATCTCATTGATCCTATCGTTGATTGTCTCAATGTTTTCCGGATTATTGGCCATCAAATTGAAAGACATGTCTAAGTCTTCGATGTTATGGAAGCGAGAGATCTGTTGTAAAGTGTTTCTCAAGTTCTGGACCTCGAGTTCAGACGAGAAAATCTTTAATTTTTTCAGTTTTGATTCATATTTGTTGACGAAATCCACGAAATTTAAGGCGTCGTTGCGTTTGAGCCGTAAGTCTATTGACTCTAATTTAGGCAAAAACTGACAGCTCTTGTCGTTTATGACGGATATGTCTTCGCAGACAAACGATTTGATGTTTGGACAGAAAGACAACAACTTTTTGCCGAAATCGTTGCAGAATTTGTTTGAATACTCTCTCGGACTGAATGTCCGGCAGTTATTGAATTTGATTTGCTTAACGTTTTGGCCGTATTTCTCGCCAAACCTAATGATGTCCTTCTCTTCCAAACCGATTAAATCCAATTGAATCGACTCTAAGTGCGGACAATAGTCGCCAATCAGTTCCAGCAGCGAAGAGTCCACATAGACTCGGGTCAACTCGATTTTGCGGATGTGTTTGCATTTCATGAGCAAACTCTTGAGGGCCTCGCCGTTGATTGTCCTCATGTTAAGGTTGGCCGCAAAGCCCGACACAAAGTTCTTCACCACAATGGGCTCCAAGAGGTCATTGAGATAATGGTTGTTGAGATGCGGTATGGCTTCGATGGGGTGGACACTAAACACCCGAAGCACTCTCTGAGCCTTATATACGCATCGTTTCCACTGTTTGGACACGTCTTCCAACACTATCTTGTCTTTGAATGTCAGGTAAGACAACAGGAGTTCGCATAAGTCGTCGCCAAACCTCTCAAACGAGTCGCGACCGAAACGCTCCCCAAAGCCCACACCCGAAGAGTGGCCGCCAGTGATCACAGCGTACTCTTCGCTCGTTCGCTGACACTTACGACTAGTCATCGGATCCATGGCTTACGACAATTGGCGACAATTATGACAATATGTGTGTCAAATGTAATCAATGAAAGCGTTCATTGAAAACACGCTTTTGTGGTCACAATTGAAATGACAATTAAATGAGTGATTGTTTTGATAACACAATCAATCACTCAATCAATGGACAAATAGTTGCGATGAGTGTGTCGTTCATAAACAACGTTACGCTCCAATCGGTGGTGACGTTTGGCCTTTGAATAGAGGCTCTCGTTTAGGAAGTGTTGCAAACATTGAGTTCACGAAAGGGTTCGATGGGGTCAACGACTCCACACATAAACCTGTCATTTAAATGGCATTCAGAAATGACGTTACGATTAGTTATTTGCCATATTTGAGAGGTGGTATAAATTATATTATTCTGTACATTTATTTGACTTGACTCGTGATTCGAGTAATATGAAATACTTTACTTAATCTGATAAACTTTTCCATATGAGCTGATTGTGTGCTCACTCACAACATATGGTCAATTTAACAAACATATTTATGATAATGATGGTCAGTTTTCGTAGATACACTTCACTTTGTATATTATGCATAATATCATATAATTTGCATAAATATAAATTTATAAAATTATAAACTTATATCAAACCTGCAGTATTGTACATATATTATACATATACGTATGTCATATAAAATTAATTAATTTATATTATGATTTATAATATAATTTATAAATAAAAAGCCAATTATAAATATATAATAAACCCGAAATGTGTAAAACAATTATCTTAAATACGGTTCAAATGCAGTAAAATAGATGCTAAATATGACAAGGTATAATGGACATTAGAATGAGCTTGGCCGTAGCTAAACTGTATATCGTTAATTTGACTTGAATTTTACACAATGCAACTAGGGATTAAACGAGATAATTAAAGCATTGATTCTTAGGTGATATAAACCAGTCTTAAAGTTACTTAAAATGTCTGAAAAGTTGCAAAAAAGTTGTAAAAAGTTACAAAAAAAATTATGTATTTTCTATGAAAATTACAAAAATATATGATTATATATGAAAGCTGTGTAAATTTTAACGCTGAGTTTGAATATGAAGTTTATAATGTTACATTAATTATATATTCTGAGTTATTTTGCTTTAAACCTTTGATCAAAAATTGTAGTTACGTAATTCTTCAAAAAGAAATCTAAATTCCACTTCCAAATGAACACTAAATATATTTATTCTTTAACTATTTTGTGAAATATCCATTAATATGGTATAAGATTAGCAAAACAGTGAAAAGCTGCTCAAAAGTTACTAAAGGTGATAAAAAGGTGAAATAAAATGCTCTCAAAATACTGTTAAAGAAGTATATGACATGATATGCCCCAAACATTCAGAAGATTCTTCGCTTTCGGGACAAAAAGTTATTTAACTTACAATCAATGTTTTAGAGATCATGTATGTTAAGTAAATATAATGTATACAGTTATACTGTGTTTTCCATGTGTATTAACGAACATGGAAAAAATTAAAATTAATTATAATTAAAATTTCATTACAAGAAATAATTGTATGTTTTGGTTAAAACTACAATTTTGTGAACATTTTAAAAATAATTAAACAAATTCTTATGGAAATCAATTCATCGATATACGATATAATAACTGAAAATTTTCATATAATTTAAATCATTATATAAATATGAATGAGAATATCAATTAAATTACATTAACTCAATCTTACAATCTGTTACTTTAAATTTGTTAACATGTTTTACAATTTTACCAATAATACAGTTATATTCTGTATATGAAGTTTAAGCCAATATTGAACTAAAATAATGATAAGTTTATCAAACAATTAACAAAAAGCATTTGATTTGTGATGAAACTAAATATTTAAGACATGTATTGATTTGAATGATTATACGATGGCTTTTAGACCTTAAATCGTCATAAAGTTTTTTCTATCAAATATAATCACTATTTGTTACTAAATTTGAACGTTATTTACAAATGATAACAATATTGAAATAGAGATGATAAACATTAAATTTATTATTAGTTTGCATATTATTTATATTTTATTAATTGCTAATATAATAACAATATTAATTCTATAAATTGTTTATTATATTTATATTTTTATACAATAAATTATTGTCAATAATAAAAACATCAATTTGTCTTATTTTAAATATATTGATTATGTTATAATTTATTAACTAACTTATTACTTTACTCTTACTGCTGATGCAATTGCTTATTTATAAATTGTAATATTTATACTGTATTTACGAGTACTAATCTTTTTATAACAATACACTTGCTTCATAACAATAATTGATTATATCTTAAATTGCATAGAAATGCAGTGCTTTAATGAATTGATTTAATTGACACTAATATTACTAAAGGGGTGTTTATAACGGCAACAAAAATATATTGATTAAACAATAATAGATTCTTGAGAAGCTATGATTGCAAGATTAAAGCACACAAAACCTTAATTGGTTATAACCATGTATGCTTTCAATTTACACCATGGTGTAAATCCTATGGTGATGCGTAATGTATAACTGTAAATTAAAGCACTCTAAAGCACTCATGTTATAAAGTTATAACTTATAACTTATAAGTAGTTTACAATATCTACTAAACCTGGGTCGGCGATATATTGCACTATATTTATAAAAGTATAATGATAAATATACAGTATAATTTAATAGTTATTATACACTGCACTTGTTTGCACTAGAAGGATTTGCACTTTTATAACTTAATTCTTATTTTTTGCTTATAAATAGTAGTTAAAAGTATTGTATAATTTTATTTTTGCATTTTATGCGCTCAAAGAAATGTCAACATTCTGTTCATCAAGATTTTGGGTGAGATTTCATTTATAATGTGATTATTATTTAACATTAATATTTGAAACCAAATAAAAGGACCCGGAATTGAGCTGGTATTCCGACTCGTTTCCCGATTTTACATTATGTTTCGAAGAGACAGCACTTGTACTCATTCCATGCGTTTTCTTATTTGTACTCTCATTATTTGAAATTCCCAAGTTTTTCACCAAGATTAAAGAACCCCCACTGCCTTATACTTTGCTTTTATTAACTAAATTTGTGAGTAGTATTTAAGTGTTGGTATAATATTCTTATTAATTTATAAATAATTACCAGATTTTAAGTTTATCACTGCTCATCATAACAATAGCTGATTTGGTATATGAAATATCAAATGATTTCAATGGTTACATTACATCAATATTATTTATTAAAGCATTCACTTTTGTAAGTAATTTATATATTTATTAGAATTATTAATTAATTAATTTGTTTATGTTTTATAGCTTTATGCCATTATTTTGCAATATTTTCATCGAAAGCACAGAATATATTCATCTGGTGTTATGTTTATATTCTGGATTCTCTACACAATCGGAGCCGCACTTAACTTTCGTACAGTTCTGCAAATTGTGTTCAATACGGTAATCAAATTTTATAACTACATAATTTACCATTGTCCATTTAATTAAATTTATTTTAATTTATTTATAATAGAAAACTGGCTTTGATTTGAATGTTAACTATTATTATTACATAACAAGAATGATAAGTTTTCCAATTATTGTCGTTCAGTTACTATTCTCATGTATCGCTGATTTTGATCACAATTACCCACAAAAATCAACTGTAATTATAATACAGAATTCTCTTACAATTATATGACATTAATTTTATTTTACAGAACTTATGCCCGGAATATAAATCTTCATTTCTCTCTCGTCTTACGTTTGAATGGTTTTCTCCATTGATATACAAAGGATACAAAAAGCCGTTGACCACCGATGATATGTGGCTTTTAAACACTGAAAACAAATCAAGTTTTATAATTGAAAAGTTTAACAAAGTTTGGTTACCAATCATTCAACGCAAATGGAGTCCTAAGGATGGCATTTCCAGTCAAAACATTAACATTTTTGTGGCTCTAATGAAAACATTTTGGCCGCAAATGCTTTTCGTTGGTTTCATTAAATTAATTACTAGTCTATTGACATTTATGAGTCCATTAGTACTGGATTTACTCATTGGATTCATGTCTCCGGACAATAGTGAACCCAATTGGAGGGGCTATTTTTACGCTTCCCTTATATTCGTGTCACCATTTATTGAATCAATACTTAGCGGACAATACGACTACAGGAATAATTTGATTTTATTGAAAATCAGAGCTTGCATTATATCCGTTGTCTATCAAAAGGTTTGTCAATATAATTGATTTAAAACAAAAATTAATTGTAATATAAAAACTTGTTAACCAGAATCTAAAGCTGTCGAATAACAGCCGCAAAAACTACACAACCGGTGAGATTGTAAACCTAATGTCAGTCGACTCGCAACGGATGACGGACTTCATGCAAATGATGAACATATTATGGTCGGCACCGCTTCAGATCTGTGTCTCACTATACTTGTTATGGCAACAGTTAGGGATCGCAACTCTGGCCGGAATGGCATTTATGCTACTTTTGATGCCCGCCAACGGCTTTATTGGCGCTAAAATGCGCTCATTTAGCGGACAAGTCATGAAAATGAAAGATAAAAGAGTGAAACTTATGAACGAAATATTGAGTGGTATTAAAGTGTTTAAATTGTATTCATGGGAGACATCGTTCAAAGAACAGGTAAAATGCGCTCATTTAGCGGACAAGTCATGAAAATGAAAGATAAAAGAGTGAAACTTATGAACGAAATATTGAGTGGTATTAAAGTGTTTAAATTGTATTCATGGGAGACATCGTTCAAAGAACAGGTGGTTTCACTTCGGGAGACAGAAGTCAAGTCACTTAATTCTGTGGCATACCTGAGCGGCTCAATGGCATTCACTTTCGTTTCGGCACCATTTTTTGTAAGCCTTTTACATTGAATAAAATATAACTTTACATTTGATAAAACATTTATTTATAAATACTTATTGAATGATAGGTCGGTTTATTTAGTTTTACGGCATTTGTTATGATGTCTTCTGATAACATTTTAGACGCAAATAAAATATTTGTCTCGCTTTCACTCTTCAATATAATGAGTATATTATTATTATTTGTACAAAATATACTTAAACACGGAATTTAACGATCATTTTTTACCTAAAGGAATGCCTCTCGGATTCTTTCCAAACTTGATATCATTCGGTGCATTGGTTTGTATTGAAATATTACAGTGTTTTACATAAAGATTAATATTTGTTTAATTATTTTAGTTTTTGGTATCCCTTCGAAGAATTAATGAGTATTTAAATGCGGAAGAAATAGACGAGACATCCATTTCTCGTAAGGAGAATAAAGAGACGCCAATAGTTGTGGAGAACGCGTCCTTCAAGTGGAACAAAGAGAGTCCGAATGTCTTAAATAATATCAGTCTTAGAATCAAGAGGAATAAATTGGTGGCTATAGTGGGTCAGGTCGGCGCTGGGAAATCTTCACTCCTTTCCTCATTATTAGGAGATTTGGACAAAATTAAAGGCATTATAAATGTGAGCGGAAGTGTGGCTTATGTGCCACAACAGGCGTGGATACAGAACTCGACTCTCAAACAGAATATTTTGTTCACAAACAAAATCAACGAAAGATTTTATAAGAAAGTCATCGATTCGTGTGCTTTAGAACCGGATTTGAAAATACTTTCGGCCGGAGATATGACTGAAATCGGAGAAAAGGGAATCAACTTATCCGGAGGTCAGAAACAAAGAGTATCCCTCGCGAGAGCCGTCTATTCTAATGCAGACATCTATTTACTCGACGATCCGCTCAGGTATTCAAATAAATGGGTTAGAAATACACCTTTTATTTAACACATGATTTGAATTGCCAACAGCGCCGTCGACGCACATGTGGGCCGACATCTTATGGATCAAGTGATTGGTCCGAACGGAATACTTAAGCACAAGACCAGACTTCTGGTGACCCACAGGGCATCCATTCTAACAAATGTGGACCAAATAATTGTTCTCAAAGACGGCTCGATATCAGAATTCGGCACTTTTGAAGAATTACTCGCAAATAAAGGAGATTTCGCCGAATTCGTGGCCGAATATCTTCAGCAACAGTTGGACTCTGAAGTGAATGACGAAGAATTGGAAGTAATCGATAAAC